CCGGAGAAAGGAGGGTAAAAGCCGCGGCACTGTTTCCGCTCGATTCGCGTTTACCTCGGTTTTCTCTTTTCTTATTTTCGACCGCGATCGTTTGTTCAATACACTCGTGCTAATTGCGCCGGGCGGACGTTACACGGGGAAATTTAACGCCTCGAATTATTTGCCCCGTAGCCCTATCGCTCGAGAGTGGGTCGAAGTTCCGTTGGTCTTGTTACGGTTGCGTCGATCAATCTGTTAAATTTCCACCGGTATCAAGGCATTTGGATTCTACAAAATCGAACATTTGTCAACGCAACGTCGGGAAACACTTGGTTTTCAATCGAGGCTCCCTCCAACGCCGAGAGAACCGTCGACACCGCTAATTCAGTCGACACAATACACCAACGAGGGCAACGGTAGCGTCCACGTGGGCCCAACAGCCGTGACGTCACATCATTGATAGAGGCGCCCACATCGCCGTGGATATTGTGCCGAGAATAGACGTCGTCCACCTATTCGTTTCGACGCGATTCGCTGCGTTTGTGCGTCCACGTGTGCATCGTACGTGCTCGCTGGCTGGAATCGACGTCAAAAGGCTGCGACCAAACGCGACCAAGAGGTTGAAAATTCATTTAAAATCGCAGAAAAACCTAGGCAATATACACAGTGGATCAAATTCTAGCAATGGATACAAAATTATTCATTTTTTTTCCTTTGTTCGGGTCTCAACGAGTAAAAGTTAAACTTTCCATTCGTTACTGGCTGAATAAAAATTAGAATTCTAATTTGGAATGCATCATCTCATCGAATCAGTAACTTTCCACCGTCTCCACAATCGGGATGTTTAATCTTGTTAACACCTTCTGTGAGAAAGCAGGCGTTTATTATAGCAATTACCATCCCGTAGAAATTGTAGGCTTCTTTAATATTGGAACAAGTGAGTGAAATTCCTTTTCCGAGACAACAGACCGAATAAAGGTACTGTGTTTAAAGGGCCCCGTTCTGTTTACAATAAATAATAACGCTATATCGAACCAGGGAGATCCTATCCGAACCGCTCGATCGAACGTCGTAAATTTTGCCCATCTTTGGTTGCTTTGGTCTGCCAAGTGTGGGAAAGAGCGGGAAAATTATCGGGGCTCGAATCGAAGACAAAGATGCCTCGAGGAACACCACGAGGAGCGTAACAACGTGTTGGAGGTGCAACGCGATGGAAAAAGATAGAGACACGAGCCTCGGAGAAAGGAAAGAAGCGAATCTCGTACCCGTCTGCCCGAGAAGACGCACACTCAGAACGGTCAGGATTGTGCAAAAGCTCGCCGTACACTCATCTCGCTGATCGTTTCCTGTGCCATTATGCTACCGCTGAAAAGGCAGTTATTCCCTTCTTACATATGCCTCTTTACGCCGCTATTGAAATTGCAAACGGAGAAAGTCGAAGGACGATTATGCTCGATCCGAGTCGAAGACGTGACTCTGTTCGCTGGAACAGGGACTCGTTCGCCAACGGTTGTAGACATTAGCGAACTTTTTCGAGATACCGTCGAGGAGTATGTAGCGTTAGTCGACCGAAAAGTTCCCTCTTTCGCTGGACAACAATAGCCAACGCAACTGTGCCTCCGAGAATCCAGTCGTGGTTCACAATAGTCGTTCGACCTGGTACAGAGGGTTCGGGGGTAGTTTTGTTCACTTTCCGGGCAACAGGTATAATATTTTTCTATCTTTTATAGGGACAGAGCTACGGTCTGAGCCAGAGAACTTCTGCACCAAAATGGAACAGATAGAAAAAGTAAACAAGTAAACTGAAATTCGTGTCTACTAGGCAAGGATCAAATAAATAGTAAGCCAAAATGGTTTACCAATATTTTACCAATCGAAACATGTTGGAAAATGACGGTGAAACTAATAGCGTTGGATTTCGCGTCGTGCAATCGATCAATTAGCCGATCAACGTCCGATTCTTATCCTGCCCGGCGAAACTAGCCAGAAAAAGTTTTCCTGCCCCCTCCCGTCGTTTCGAAACGTGCGGACGGTTAAGGAATTTCTATCGCGGTGACAGGGAACAGCTTCCGCCATTAGAGGATCGAAACGTTCCTCCGTACCTACTGATGAGAATCGAGAATCCACGAACGATTCCCAGGGGCCCGTTAAATGCAGACGGCGTTCGAGAACGGTCGTGTTGCATCGTGCCCCCTCCACCTCCGTGCCCCCTTCGAGCACGGATGAGATTATGTATACCGTATTCAATCACCGTAGAACGGTAATGACGGAATTATCCAGGGAAGCGATGAAAGTCGGTCTTCACCGTTTTTCGTGGTGGGCGAAATATGCTTTCGAAGTTATTACGCACCCTTTCGCGGTTCCATATTAACCCTTCCAATTCAGATTTCACCAAACGTTCGTAAACCAGCGAGTCGCGGTTGCCAGAGCCCGTACGCGATGGATATTTCCCGAAGAATTCCGTCTCCCAATTATCAAGTCGGCGAAAGGAGGATGTCGAAATAATTATCGAGCGCAAAGGGTTAAAGATCTCGCCGTTTCCGTCTGCTTAGCGTACCCTCGAAAGCCCCGTGTACACACTCGCGTTATTTGCTCACCATAGATATTTTTTTATTGCTCACCCCCTCTCATAATTGAATTAGCTCGAGGCAGCGCTAAACGCTCGAGGCGAGCGAGGCCGCCGGCCGGAGAAAAACACCAGGGTAGAGAGATCCTTCAGGGAAAGGAAGCAATTTAAGGGTCTCTGTTTATGCCCCCGTGGGCCCTCGAGAGGGCACGGTACGACGGAACCCACGGACCACCCTTTGTCGCCCTCCGGAGAACGGACCCCGACGTGGGTCCTCTTAGAGCCTTCGACGAGCGAGTTATGAAATATACAAACAGGCTTGGTGCTCTTCAAATAATCCGCTGTTTGGGGCCCTATGTGTGCGCGCGCGAGCCTCGATTCGGTCCGTTAACGTACCCCGAACGAGGACCCTTGACGTGTACCCGTCACTGTGTATACCTCTTGCGAGGAAACACGTCGTCATGCTTGCTCGAGGATCTCTCCCGAGGATCTACTCGACTCGCTCGAAATCGGCCGTTCGTTTCGACGTAATTACGCTCGACAGCAGCCTGCCCCGGGGCCTGGTGACACGTCACGTGGGTGGGATGTTAGCAATCGTTTACTGGAAGCCTCTCTTGCTCTACACTACCCCTCCTTTACTTACGGTAGCTCGAGGACTTACGGCTTTTTAATTACTCGAAGATATATTGCCGCGACACAACGTGTGTTTTGGTGCTCGAGTGCCTCACCGAGGGCCCTGGCAATGATTGGACGACGACTCGTACTTATTGCTACCCGTGGTTAGAGTGCCGGTAGCCGTGGATCTTCTGGTTGTTTGACATTTTCCCGTAGGCTGACGTTCCGGAGCCCTCGACAGGGTGAAGCAATTCTCGTGTAGGTCTTGTCTGTCGGTGTTGTCTACTATTTGTCAGGCTTGGGACCTATCGGCTCGACAGACGATTTGGACAGAGTGTCGATGGGAATAAAAAATATACTACTTTTTAAGCAATTTCCTAACTACGATCATCTTGTAAACATCTCGATTTTATATATCGAAAGTACCCATAAGGCCCCAAAATCTGAAGTAAAACTCTCGTAATCCTCGAAACTGTTTAGCGAACCGTCGTCGACTGGAACGGTTTCCTCGATCGTGGATCCTCCGGGTGTCGAACGGCGATCCACGCTTTACGACACCGCGATTTGTGGGTCCGTTCGCGAGGAATTGCCCGAAACGGAGAAGAGGACAGCGAGAGGAACAGAAGAGTCGTTGGCAAGCGACTGGAACCAAAGTGGAATTCTGCGTAACGACTCTCCGCAGATAGAGGAGCAACAGACCGGAAATCCTTCGGATTCGATAGCTCTCGCGCGCCCCGCATCGACAAAGGAATCGGGCTAGAAATTTGCGATCGGCGCCGCGATACAATGGGCCCCGTGGAAGTCTTTTTCTGAGAGGTCGAACCGAGGGCCCCCGTATTGTTGCGAAACGGCGGCTCTCGCTCGAGAGATTCACTCGGTTGGCTTCCAACGATTTCGAGAATGGGAACGAGAGCGTTTAGAGAAGGAGGGGAACTCCCATTAGTGGGGCGATCACTATAGGTACGCGTTGGAATTTCTTTTTTGAACGATCACTGCGTTGCAAAATTCGAATATCGATCCTCGTAGACGTTCAAATGCAGCGTTGGAATATTTTAACAAAATTCGTTAGATTTCATAGTTGGAATAGTAGGAACTGATGAAGATTATTTTTTAAACGCCTTTGCAGAGACCAAAGTATTTTATTTCGCCCCGAGGAGAAGGTCGGATAGAACCAGAGGCGACGTCGCTAATGAGAAGCAATTTAAATTCGAAAAGAGACGGTGTTCCGTCCCTCTGGTTTCGCCGCGGACGCGCCATAATTCTTCGCGGGTCTTTGTCGTCGAACGGAGCAAGAACCTTGCGAGCAAAATTAATTACGGGTATCGAACCGTTCCGTGGCACGTTTCGACTATTGTGCAACGACGAGTGAAACGTTCTTTCGCGACCAGGTGAATCGCATTTGCGAACGTTCCACCGGTTTCCAAACCGATCGGCCGCCATTGTCGATACGTACAAATCGACTGAGAAAATATCATTAACGCCGTTTATGATAATTCGCGGACCGAGCGAACCGGCGTCTTTGTTTGTTCAAAACGTAATGGAGGATAAATATCTCCTCTCTCGAATCCGTGTCAGGGTTCGAGGAACTGGTCAGGAATTTTGATGGAAGAGTTTCTAGAGAATTAGTCAATTCGTTAGATGGTAAATATGGTCCATTAAAAAAAATCTCAAACTTTTTTTTCTCATAATATTTTAAGTAATATTTCTCTCGAACAGTTTATCAAGAACATATAAGATCGAGAGTTTTCGACCTCTATCGTATACGTAAGATGTGTCAAAATGGTAGCTATGATGTTCATAAGAGAACAAGCTTTTTTTAATAAAATAAGATTGTACTCACCGTCCATCGGAAGGTGAAGTGCAGTTGCAGGGTGACGGGTTCGCTGAGGGTGAAGGTGTTCTGACCGAGGGCGTGACTAGATACGTTGCCAAAGCTGCACGAGCCGATGGCGGTGACGTTCGATTGGTACTCCTTCAGGCAGAGCCAGAACGCCGTGGAGCACGGTGTCGTGCAGGGTGGTAATCCTCCCTTTCCTCCGCCATCTCCTCCCCCGCCGCAACACCTACCGTCCACCAGGGTGCCCCTGTTGTTCGTCAGCGAGAGGATCTGCACCTCGAAGAATCCGCTCGCGTTCGTCGCCTGTGTCATCAACAAACCACACATTTTAAATTCGATCCATCGACTCATTCACTTATTAATCTAACAGGGGTGCAGGCTACCCTTAAACTCCCCCTATGGAATTCCTCCTAGTTTTTAAAATAGTTGACCAGGGACCAATAACATGACTCAAACCAATATTACTGTGTAAAGGAATATTATCATCTATTTTTGCAACCCCTACGAGAGGTAACAACTCACATAAATATTTCCAATATCGAATAGCGAAAGCAGATAATATAATAATTCCTAGATCAAACGGAGGCCCCAAAATGGTCACCGAGTAGAAATTGACGAACATCCGGCGCCATCGCTTTCGTCCTCGCCATTCCGCGAGCTCCAATTTTTCCCCCGTTCCTAATTAACTTCGGTAGCGTATTAAATTGCACCGTTCCACTTTATATCGGTCCGTTTCTCTCCAGCTTTTTCCTCCATCCGCGATATTTAATACCAGCGCGAATTTATCGCGTTCGTTACAGCGCGGTCGTTCGGTATTAAACATCACGATTTCGTTTGGCTTCTTTCTAATGGGCCTAATAACACGGCGAGATTTTCCTCCAGCCAGTCTTGTGAAAACGGAAGTCTCGTGGCCGGGGGCCCCCGGGAGGCGAAAGGCCCCTCGAGTGTCTGTTACGGGCTAGCCGCCAGCTCTTGGAACGATTCGGTGAAAGAAATCGAGCAGTTTCGAAACGATCGAGCCGGCAATTTCTACGAGATCCCTGTGTACCGTCTGTGCATCGTGTGCATGAATATTGAACTTCACGACGTGCGTTTAGATTGCACCTTCGGCGCTCGAATTGCAACACGTCGTGCTCCTCCGCGCGAATTTCAATATTTTACCTCCACGCTAGGGGCACCGTAAATCTTTCGTATGGGAAACGATCCGTGTTTACGTCGCTGGTCGTAGGAATTTGTTATTCCTATCGTTCACTATCCATCGGTTTAAATTAGAATCGCGAACAAATTCGAGACTACGAGGATCCCTTCCAGGGAAAATGGAAATATTCCAGATTTATCTGGTCTGGCCAGATAAACCTGTTACCTAACTAATCGCATTAATATCGATACATTAATATTCCTCGAACAGAAGTTCGTTAGGATCTGTTATAAATCATCGTTTTAGAATACAATCTCCCAATCGTCTAAGAGTCCATTTAATTTAAATAATTATATGCAGTGTATTCGAAACCAGGTTTCAAAAGAGCGTACTTAGCGTCCAACTTGTTTCTATATGCAAGATTACCGACATCGTCTTATATTTATTTTTCCAAGCAGTTCAACGCGTTGCCCTTTAATTTCAATAGTCACTGATTACCCCCGTCTGCGTGCAACACACAGCAACAAATTACTCGCTTGAGATATTGAAACAGAACGTTGCAATTTATTTACGCCGACGAGGCTGATTCATAAACCTGTATTAATTAAGCATTTTTCCTACCCCGGGAATTACTCTTTAAACCAGCCGTTAATAGAAAATGCTTCTCGGGTACCTTTCGTTTCCTTATTTTGTTCAACGCGGATCATGCCTCGAACGCGTAATTAAATCGAGGACCTTATTAGGATTCAGAAAAATTCGCCAGGCTTTCGCAGTACGAATTCCAGCAATTAATTCCGTTCCAGGCTTTCGAACGCGTGCACCGTATTTTCGGAAAGCATTCTGCAAAAATTCCGATATCAGAATTATTACGTGTTCTTTCCTCGCCTGGCTGACTTTACCGTGTCGATTGCTCAACCTGGGAATATATGAAATTAGAAGGCCTGTTAGTCGGGGTGTATTCTTCCGTGCTACGGTTCGAAAATAACTGATAGAGACTGGGTATTGAAACGTTAAATCAAACTTTCGAAAAAGAAATATTACAAAAGAAATTAAAATGGGTGAAAATTTCTTCTCAAATTCTAGCCCTTCTCTATAAATAATCATCCGTAAAATTATAATTAGAAAGATCGAAATCTACGTGAATTCAATATTTTTTATTATTTTATTACGTAAGATACTCGTAATAGTGTCTATTTGATTAAAATGATTGTAAGAAAATTGTGTATCGAATTTTGGGGTCAAAATGGAGTTCAGTGGAGCACGGTGAAAATAAATAAATGTAAGAGGAGCGGGTTGGTGCGTTCGCGCGAGTTCGCCCGAGCGATCAATAACAAAAGCGAAAATGTTACTGCTCGAAATCGTCTGCTTTCGACGCGGAGAGTCTTCCTTTCATCGTTACGAAACCATCGGCTACGTACGGTTCACCTACACTTATCGGTTTCGAATGCGCCGCGGTTGGATCGGGGAGCACGTGCATCGAGCGCGCGGGCCCCGAAGGTGTGGGTGCGCGTACGTGTGATCCGCGCATGCACGGACGGAGAAGGCCCCGACGGGGCCTGTGTAATTACCGTAAGAGTAAGATCGAAGGTAGAAAGCGCGAAGGATCGTCTGCTGGCCTTTGCTTTCCACGACGCGCTTCCTACTGCGTTATATAATACCCGGCGCAACGCGAGGTGACATTTTCGTCGAACCGCAGAGTGGCTTCTGCGGTTTCCCTCGATACGCGTCGGATGGATATCTCACGGGGAAATTGAAGGCTAAATCACGGTTAATGTCCGGGACGGGAAACCGGAGGAGCCCATCAACGTGTACGAGAGCTATGATACGACTCGTTTCTACAAGAAACGTTCGCTAAAAGACGCGGGATAAACGTGTCCTCGCATTATCGTTAGCCTCGGTGCTACGTACCGCGAACGATACAAGTAAATTCCACGTTAACCAACCAACACCTTCGTCGCGTTAAATCAGGCCCCCCAGAACGCCATCGTGTCCTTCCTACTCGATCGATCTTTGTTGAATAAATTTTTGTCAGATAGGGAACTGGACGTCGACAATTGGAGGGGTTTGGTAGTGGACGTCTTTAAATTTCATCGATCTAGTAATTTATTTGTCTGTTTAACGGGTAAACACCCTTTATGAAAAAGTGAAAAAATAGAGGGAACACAATTACATATAACTTATACAAAGGAGACTACGAAAGTTACAATAGTGCTTATAACTAAATATTCAAAGACGCCTCCGCCTTAAAACTATCAGAGGATAAATTACAAATTCCGCTAAACGAATCAGTAAGATCGAAATTAGAATGCTCTCGAATTAAGTAATGCTTTGTTAAATAAATTTTTGTCAGACTGAGAGTGGGATGTCCTGTTACGGTAAAAACTTCGAACACGCATGTACGGGCCATAATTCGCGACGATCAATGATTAAATCAAATAATGGAGCTTCTTCTGTACCTTGGACCGCAGTATGGGAACGCAGGTTTCAGCTGGAGAAACGTTGAAACGGCGAAGCCAGTTTCTGTTAACGCGACGAGGCTCGGTTACCGGGAATATATCAATCGCGGACGGCGAAACGGAATTGTCGTGGTCGTAAAATGACAGCCATCGTCGTCGGTACGCATTCAACGACGATCACCAGGCGCGAGGATCGCGCGTCGGGTGGAATCCGTGCGGCGATGGCGCGTTTACGACGACGCCCGGACGCTAAATCCCGACGCGGAGGACGACTGTTTGAGGAGGGAACGGTGTAACCCGGCCGTCGACGTCGTTTTATTGGCCGTGCATACTTATTCTGGAGGCTCTCTCCGGTAACCCGCGTGCCTCCGAAAGAAGCTGAAAACGCGCGGGGTACCGTGGCGAGGGCACACACGGGGCCCCGTAGCGTTTGCACGGTGCCCGAAGGGAGTTTGCACAGTCCGCTCACGTGCCGGCGCGAAATTGCCCCGCGAAAGATGGCTTTCAGACCGCCGACACGGAAGTGCCTTTTTTGAAAACTGGGATCGGTCGACCGATGATACGGACGGATGGTATCGGGACGGTCGCACGAGTCGAGAATTTTTAGCAGCCGATCGACTCTTTCTCACGAGCCACGAGACCAGGTCGCGGATTCCTCCAACGATGCCTCTCCGCGACCCTCAAGACTCCATTTCAACGCAATCTGAATTTAAAAAGTTTCTTCTCCGTAGAAATATTATATTTTCTCTTGTGCATCGTCATTTGTGGATCGTAATAAGTGACTTCCTTTTGAGGAAGAGTTTACTTATCGAATGGATTTATTTCGTAATACGGAGTTACGGCAACCCCCTCGAGCGAAACAATGTTACGCGAGGCTACGAAAAAAATGAGCTTTCGCACAATTGACCTAATAACCGTGAAAGCGAGCAGCTCGAGCGATTGTTCCGAGGTTGATAGGTGCGGTGCACGATGGGAATTGGTCGCTAATACGCGGTGTCCACCTTTATTACACCTCTCGGCGGCTCAGCGAGACGTCAATTATCGCTGGGTGGCGACCCGAAGCCACAGCCATGTGAGAAAATGTCGGGTCGTGCCCCTTTTCACCTAACAAACGCCATTAAACCGCGACGCGAGTTTCGTTTCGATTTCACGGGGGTGGAAAAATACTTTAACCATCTCGAGGAAGAGGTAATGTAAGTAAAAATCAACTCGTATTATTTTTAACAGAGTAAAAAAAAAAAAATAATCGGGAAGCCATCGACGTGTTTCCTCCGGTCGACTAACAGCCCGAGTTCTAATGGTCCCAACAGCTCGTTCCAAGAATCGTACCAGAACTATAAATAACGCAGTAAAGATAAAAGGTGCTTTTTGTCGCAATAATTTCTCCGCAAATATATTTCTGTCCAGGTAACTGATCGAGCCACTTGCGTAATGGCTCGCGGTTTATTAACAGAAGCACTTGCCCGTAAGAAGGGTTACAAACTATCAAACTGGTTGTCGGAAGAGCCTTTCGTGAAAGCTGCGGCACCGTTGATGAGCGAGGCAACGAATCGAGTCGCTCTAAAATTTTTAGCGCTCGATCCGTGCGAATACACACACGATCGACGAGACGGTACCGTAATATAAACAGGCATTAACGCGGTAACCGGTTAAATGCGTAAGAAAACGACGAACGCAGCGGACGATGCATCAGTCATTAAAGTGTCAAC